TTCTACGTTTGGTACGCACAGAGTGGTCTGGACCTTGGATATGTGCTGGCGACTTTAATGAAATCTTGAGCAGAGATGAACATTTGAGCAGGAGGGAAAGAGGTGAACAACAAATAAGATTATTTAGGGAATACCTTGAGTTTTGTGATTTGGTTAATCTAGGATTTTTAGGCCCGAAGTTTACTTGGAATAATAGGCAGGAAGGAAATGATAATGTGAAGGTACGCTTGGACCGAGCGGTGGCAAATGGAAAATTTAACCAGCTTTTTGATGAATGTCACGTGGAGAATGTCATTACATCTTCATCAGATCACTATGCCATTTTAATATCAATTAATAAAAAACATGGCACAGTGAGAATAATTATTTCAAAATTGGATTTAAGTATGAAGCAATGTGGGCAAGAGCACCAGATTATAATGAGGTTGTTGAAAAGAATTGGAACGATGGCTTCGAAGGTGCAAGAAATCTTCATTCTATTTGGACTAATCTGAACAAAATGGCCACTTCGCTAAAACAGTGGAGTAAAAGTACTTTTGGATCAATCCAGAAGAAGATAAAAAAACTGGAACAACAACTAGCAATGCTTCGATCCTCAAGCTCTGTTCCAGCCTACTCAATAGAGGAGAGAGCGATTGAACGACAACTATGTCACTTGTTTGAATGTGAAGAAATTATGGCTCGTCAACGTTCTAGAGTGGATTGGCTACAAGAGGGTGACCGGAATACTTCTTTTTTCCATGCCAGAGCATCTGCCAGGCGAAAAACAAATAAAATAACGTATCTATTGAAAGATGATGGTACAAGGTGTGAAAATAAAGATGACATCAAAGGTATGACTCGTGATTTCTTTGTTAACTTATATTCTAGTGAGCCAACTGACCAGATTGACAGTATTCTTGAAGCCATCCCATGCAAGATAGATGAAAATACCAATATAATGTTATGTAAGCCCTACACTGATGAGGAGATCCATGAAGCCTTATTCCAAATGGGTCCGACCAAAGCACCTGGCCCGGATGGTTTCCCAGCACTGTTTTATCAGCGCCATTGGGATTTTTAAGGCTGATATTTGCTTTGCAGTTAGGGGCTTTCTACAAGGTGACACTATTCTAGATGGTCTTTGTCATACAACTATTGTCTTAATTCCTAAGACCTTCAAGGCCGAGAGGCTGCTTAATTTTCGTCCAATCAGCTTATGCAATGTGCTTTATAAAATTGCATCAAAGGTCCTAGCAAATAGATTGAAAACTCTCCTTCAAGCTCATGTATATCAAGGACATAATTTTCTTCACCAGAGGGGATGCCAAGAACCTTCAAGCTCTAAATGAGGTGCTGCACACTTATAGTAAGGGATCGGGGCAGCGAATTAGTTTTGAAAAATCTTCAGTTTTCTTTGGTGATCATTGCCCAGAGCATATCAAGGACAGAATAATGACATGCCTCAATGTCCAGTGTGTGGCCATACAAACCAATTACTTGGGCATGCCATCTTGGGTAGGAAGATCTCCTACGAATACTTTTAATTTCCTACCTGACTGTATGTGGAAGAAAATAAGAGGATGGAGTGACCGTCCCCTCTCAAAGGCTGGTAAGGAAATAATATTAAAGTTAGTCATCCAAGCTATTCCATTGTATGTTATGAGTTGCTTCCGTTTACCAGTTGCAATTTGTGATAGAATGAGGACAACAATATCGAACCACTGGTGGGGAATTGAAGATGGTAAGAAGAAATTGCATTGGCAATCCTGGGAATGGTTAACAACACCGAAAGCCATGGGAGGTATGGGATTTCGAGATATGGAACTCTTCAATCAGGCAATGCTAGGAAAGCAATGTTGGAGAATTCTTACAGTACCTGATTCACTTTGTGCCAGAGTACTCAAAGGGCGCTATTTTCCAAACTGCACATTTTGGGATGCGCCTCTGCCTAGAAGCTCTTCGTTCACATGGCGTAGTCTTATGTATGGTAAGGAAATCTTGATGAAAGGTATCCTGTGGAGAGTGGGAGATGGAAAAACTATTCGTATAATTAAGGATAATTGGATTCAAAGCACAAATACTATTAAATCTGCTGTTCATCTGCCAGAAAATTTGAAGGTGCGTTCTCTTATAGATGAGGTTGCTGGCAGACGGAATGAGGACATTGTCCGATCATATTTTAGTGAAGATGATGCTGAAAAGATCCTACATATACCATTATGCTATACTTCATGTGAGGACTTTCCATCTTGGCCTCACACCAAATCAGGAATATATACTGTCAAATCAGCATACTCACTCACAAGATTGGAAAGCCTTCATCACTTTTTAAGCGAAAATGGCAGAGGTGAATCTTCATATCAACATGAGACATCTAAATTATGGAAGCGACTATGGGCAATTAAAGCACCACCAAAAATGAAAATAATCCTATGGAGAATGGCTCATGATTGTTTACCAACAGGAGCACAACTAAAGTATAGACATGTTCCTGCATCTGATGCTTTTTGCTGTTGTGGAAGAGAAGAAACAGTGGAGCATGCCATTTTAATGTGCCAATATGCTTCAGAGGTATGGCGTCAAATTAGAAAGTGTTTTGTTATAAATTGCAAGCCTCATGCTTTTCTACACATCAAACAATGCCTTTTTTATTTCTTAGATAGAGCAAAGGATGATGAAGCCACCACATTTACAATTACTGTGTGGCACATTTGGGATGCAAGAAATGCAGTTAGGAATGTAGAGAAAATGTTGCATCCTCATTCCATTGCTGAACGAACAAAAGCTTACATAGAGATGGTATTGATGCACTCTATAAAAGAATCCGCCCCCACAGGTGCGAGTCTAATTGCTTGGCCCCTAAATGGACTCCACCGCCGGATGGCTGGTTGATGCTCAATGTAGATGCAGCCACCTTTAAAGATCTCTCTCGAATCGAAATAGGTGGAGTGATTCGTGATCATTTTGGGGATTTTAAAATGGCTTTTTTAAGAAGATGCACAGAGTTGAAGATCCTGAGGTGGCTGAAATTTTAGCAATTCGATGTGGTGTTTTGTTTGCAAAAGAACGAAATCTTTAGCATATCATTGTGGCTTCTGACTGTCAAAACATCATCAAAAAATACAATCACCGCATCTAGATAGATCTCATGTTGGAGCCATTGTGTGTGATGTCAAAAACTTAGTACGTGAAGTTTCTGTCTCTTTCATGTACATTAAGAGAAGTTGTAATGAGGCAGCTCATGTAATGGCTAGGCTAGCTGATCAGTTCTCTGGTTTAGTTTGGTGTAACGAGGCTCCAGATGCAATTCGGACCCTCCTTATGTTAAGATAATATATAATGCTGCCTTTTTCAAAAAAAATTGTGTTTTACAATCTTGTATATGTTATATATATATATATATATATATATATATATATATATATATATATATATATATATATATATATATATATATATATATATATATATATATATATATATATATATATATAGACAGGTTTAGCTAACTGTGTAATTCTAAAAAACTTATATGATAAAAAAAACTATTTTTTTTGTTTGAACGGTGGGAGTACAGTGCACCGGCAGGATAGATCCAAAACTTAAAAGCCTGTTTAGAGGCTATGTATTCAGGGTCTGTTTGGCAAGGCTCCTCTTCGGATCTGGCTCTCCTCCTCCATAGGAGCCCTGCTAAATGTTTTTCTGGATGAGTCATTTTTTCAGTAAAAAGCAGAGGAGCCGGAGCCGTTGTGGCTCCTCCAAAACGGCTCTAGCTCCTCCGGAAGAAGCTCTCAAGAGGAGCCATGCCAAACACCCCCTCAATACTATTCCTTCCCTTCCAAGTTATAAATCGTTCTATATAGTTTTTACTACGTATCTAAATGAAATATATATCTAGTAGATGCGTCTCTAGAAAACCTAGAACAACTTACAATGTGGAACAGATAGAATATCGTTTTGCAAAATACTTTAATTTTCAAAAGTTGATGTGTGTTTGAGACAACAAACCTTGTAAATTCTGAAACTGTGGTTTGTCAAAACAAGAGTCTTTTTGGAGTTTTTGAAACTTAGTAAGCTAGTCTTCATCTTTTTTTTTTTCTAAACCACGTTTTTATGTGTCTCTAGAATATAAAACTGAATTTTCACGATGCCATAGTTTTTTAAGACTACGTCATCCAAATAACCACTTAACTATATTGCTTGGAACACTATGATGTAATGTGTGTTAGTGAGTTCACGGTTGGCTGGTTATAACTCCATGTATCGCTAGAGCATGAAGCCGTAAACCCAAGTACAAACTACCCATGCAAATTAGACTAAACTTAGTTATCATTAAACATCATCATCAAGATGGAAGTCCATAGACTAAATACCAAATAAGCTGGGAAAAAAGAAAATCTATTAACGAGAAATATAAATCCATAACCCGAACTACCAAGACAATAATACTCCTCTCATATCATAATAGTTTGATGTTTTAGTATTTTAAAATAGATTAGTCTTCAAAAGAAAGTACTCATATACCCCCATTTATGAAATATGATCCACACTAATTTTAAGAGTAAATCGCTAACTAAAAGAAATGTTTGGAGGTATGCAAACCGCTGTATCATATTTTTTTTTAAGAAGACGGGAGTATTATTTTAATATAGTGTGTTAAGTACAACTTTTATCTCCAGTTATTATACCATACAAACGTGGCACAATTAATCTGTAGTAACGCACACAATCAAATCATTCGGCCAATCAGACCTGAACATCCTGAACTGCAGCCTGCAGACAATCCGGCCCCGCACCTTGGTCCCACCTGCAGTGAGACAAAGTTCCGCCCAAGCCCGGCACCAACCCCCTACCGGCCCACTCCGGTCCCCCTTGCCTTGCCACGCTCTATAAAGCCGGCCGGCCATGGACCACGGCTCCAGCGAACGCGGCCGCGCTTCGCCTCGTCCGACCGAGTGCGTCCCTCCCTTCCTTTGCTTGCAGCCCTCTCCGTCCTCACCGGGACACCCGCAGCCACCATGGCAGCCGCCACGAAGCTCAACCCGTTCGCGGCCCCGTTCCCTTGCCCCTACCCCTACGCACACCACCTCGCACCGCCGGCGCCGCCCCCGTTCCCGCTCGCGGACGCCTGCCCGCCGCGGTTCCCATTCGTCACCTACTGCTGCGTCGGCGTCGCCTCCCCGCAGGGCCGCCTCGGCTTCTGCTTCCCCGTCCCTGTGCAGCAGTCCTCCGGCTCCCCGCCGGTCCTCCGCAAGGGCGTCCTCGCGGCGCCGCCGCACGGCCTCCCGCCGCACAAGCTCATGGCGGCGTTCTCCGGCCCCTGCGGCGCGGGGAAGCAGCGCCAGGCCCCGGCGCCCGTGCCCATGAAGCCGGTAGCCGCCGCCGCCGCCGCGCCGCCTGCCCAGGTGCCGGCGGCGCCGCGCAAGCCGCGGATGGCGCGGCTGAAGGCGGAGAGCAGGAGCCAGGCCAAGGCGCCGCGCCCACGGAAGGCGGCGGGTCCGCGCGCGCGCCTGCCCCCGCAGCGTGAGGCGCCGCCGCCGTCCCTCTACACGAAGCGGCCGCGGGATTGGGAGAAGCCGAAGCCTTCAGAGCTCGGCGACTGCACCACCATTATGCTCCGGAATATCCCCAACAAGCTCAGGTAACCGTAACCGCCCCAGTGATCATCACAAGGGCACGGAAATGCACACTAGCTGCATTTTTTTTTTAGCTTCTTCTTGATGAATCTTGCCCCCCATAGATTCAGCGGTTTATCATGTGTGCAGGAGCGGAGATATGATCAGTTTGCTCGACGAGCAGTGCTCGCGCGCCAACAGGGCCGCCGGCTCCGTCGTCGCAGCCTACGACGTCTTGTACTTGCCGATGGACTTCAGGTGATAAATCTAGATTCTGCATCTTCTTCTTCTTTTTTCTGCAATTTTTTGGGGGAAAAAAAGTACATGAAATTAAGTCTTAAGAGAAAACGAGGCCACATCGTGTCCCTTTTGCTTTTCTTCTTTTGACACATACAAGAACGCAGATTTCAGTTGTTCCTTGTTCTGAGAAAAGCTATAAAGCAAAGAAGCGGAACAAGACAATAAAATTTCATAGTAATGTAGAATGGTTTCTTAACGGATACTTAATATTTGCTGCATAGGCTTGGACATGAATCTGGCCACATTATCTAGTGCAGTGTATGTCCTGTCTCATTGCACACGCGAGTAGGATGGTTTTTTAACGGATACAGTTTTGGTGCAAATTTGCATGAGGCCTCAATTTGTAGGGTACTTTTGCTTCTTTTGCACATAAATAGGCAGGATTCAGTCGTCCTTGTTATGGAGAAAGCTAAAGAACAAGGAGACAAAACTGCTGAAGTTTAATGCTAGCATTTTTTAGTCTGAAACAACTTAAAATGGAATTTACGTTATAGCCAATTTTAGTATGGAGCACTGTTCTGTTTAAATTTTCTTCCTGACAGACTTGGCCAATGGCCACTTTAGGTTAATTTCCTGCATTTTCTCGCTAACAAGTTTGGTCAGTGCGTGCATTTTTCTTGGTGCAAATTACTCAATACATATTATTTCTTAAATCTTAAGGCCACTAATGAATGCTGCAAGAATAAAGTTAAGGAAACTGAAATTGCACAACACTTTTTCGTGGTTTTTTCCTCTTTTGAACACGCAAAAATGCTGGATTGGGTCCTCCTCCTGGGGAAAGCTAAAAGACAGAACAGCACAGAATGAAACTTGATGCCAGTGCTTTCTTTAGAAACAAGAAAATGGATGGTTTTATGTTACTTCTAGTTGTATAAGTAGACAGTAGTAAACTAGTAACCACTACTAAACTTTTAGAGTGTTTTTCCTTTCTTTTACTTGTTTTGTACATATGCATGTACATAAATGCTGTCCTCGTTGTTCTGGAGAAAAGCTAAAGGACAAAGACAAAACAGCACAAGTGAAATTCGATGCTAGCCTTTTGCATTCCTTTCTGGATCAACAATGCAAAGCAAATGAAATTTTAGTAGCCAATGGAAGCTTGGATCACTAATAACTGCTATGCTATTGTCGTGATTTACTTATCACCTTGTTGTGCACAGATAGAATATACCATGTAACTTGGTGGATTATGTTTCCTGCATTTTCTTGGTCAACAGTCACAATCAACATGTTCGACTGGGGCTGAAATGATCGTGGATTATTACTGCTGGCTGGTTTGGTGTGAGAGAAAAATACTGTTTTAGCTGGAAATTTACGATCGTTTACCATCAAGCGAACATGCAGATTGTATTTTTTTTAGATAAAATATGAGCACTTCTTTGTTGTACTATTTAGTAGTATACCTTAGGGGCAAATTCAACTTTTTCCAGCATTTCTGAAAGCCTCTTGAATGAAAGCTGTAAAAATCCGAAGTTCACTTTCACAGTACTTTCCCTTTCTTTTTCTTCTTTTGTACACACAACAGACACAATGACACGAATGCTGGCCTCAAGTCTGTCCTCGTGCTGGGGAAAGCTAAAGAGCAAAGAGACAAACACAGCACAAAATGAAAATTGATGTCAGTGGTCTTTTGGAGCAACAGAATATTGTTTCGTTGTGGAAAAACTGATGTCCTGTCATTGATCACTTGTGATGAACTGATGTGGTGGTGGTAGACTGGTAGACGGTAGTATCTTGTTTCGTTGTTTCCTCCTCCATCTGATATGTGTGCTGTGGTGGTGCTTTTTTTTTAAGCCGATTACTACTACTATTGTGATGGAATTCATGAATTGATGATTTTGTGTGTTGATGCTCAGGAAAGAGGCCAACTTCGGCTACGCTTTCATCAACTTCACCACCACATCGGCGGCCAAGGAGCTCTACTGCTCCCTGCAGAACTGCCTCTGGAAAGTGCACGGCTCCAAGAAGGTGATCAGGATCGACCAGGCCACGCAACAGGTGTGTCATGTGTGTGCAAAAAACACAATCATGAGGGTGATTTGATGTGCCTGCATGCATGCGATGGTGCCATGATTGGCTGTGTGACTGACTGATTTGACTGATCGAGATTTGCTGCCATGGATGGGTTTGCTGTGTGCGCAGGGAAAGGCGATGCTGGTGAGGCACTTGGAGAAGATGAGGCTGGAGTGCGCCAAGGACGAGTTCCTGCCGGTGGAGTTCTCCCCGCCGCGCGACGGCGTGAACGTCCCTGCCGCGCCCAGGCGCATCCGCATGGCTCGCCGGGGCGCGCGCACCGCATCCAAGGCCAAGGCTGGCTGCATAGCCAGCTAGCTAGCTAGCGCCATGGGGGCAGGCTAGCTGCTGCTGCTGGCAGTGGGAGTCGAACGATGCATATGCATGCATGCGATGGATGCGGGCATGCGGCGGAGGGGCGTACAGTATGTACGTTGTTGGTGGTGCAGCGTTGGTCGGTGAGTCCGAAGTCCGTCAGCTATGCCTTCCCCTTCTCTTCTTCCGCTTCCCGGCCGACGAGGAGGGGGGGTAGGCTGGGGGACTTTGGACGGTAGCGTTAGTAGTAGGATGACTCGATGCATGTGTACTGTAGAGTCTGTGTGTAGTGGTTGTGCTTGTGCAGCATGTCTCATGCATGTCATGTGTACTAGTAGTAGCCTGTGTTGTGTGCTAGGACGTCTAAAAGCTAGGGCAGCAGCAGCAGCTGTCTAGCTAGGAGTAGGGTACTAGTACTGTAGTAGGCAATGTGTGTGTCCCACCCATTTTCCCCTGCGAATGCTGCCGGGCTTGTTCATGGATCATGGAACTGGTAGTGCTAGGAGCATGCATGCATGGGCATCACCTGTGGTGGTGTTGGTGTTCCCCGAAGCAAGAGAGAATCTCTTGAGGAAAAGGAAGCCGCCCGAATCCGTGGTGCCATACTGGCGGCGAGCCGGGGTTCGCGGTCAAACAGTTGCCACTCCGGTGAAAGCTGTGTCCGGGCTCTCGCGCCTCGCCCCGGCCGCCGAGCCGATCCTGTCTCTGCTTCGCCTGCGGCAACGAGCCAACGACTCTCTCTCTCTCTCTCTCTCGGCCTCGGACAGGCATAGGACTGCAAGTCTGCAAGGGCATGTTTGTCGGCATGTGCCTTGGACCGTTAGGTCTGTCTGTCTCTTGCGCCGTCTCCTCCCTCTCAGTCTCGGCCTCCGATCGATCCGTCTCTCTGCATGCCTGCGCGTTCATCCTTTCATTCTTTCTTGTACGTGCGTGCGTATTAACTCAAACAGCCCCGGATTACGTAATTAGCTAGAGGCACAGACGTGTTGTCTGTTTGGTTGCTGTTGCATGGCATGCTTAGGCACTGTGGCGATCATGGGCATGGGCGCATGGTGCTGCTGGAGCCAGGGAGCGACAGGGTGCAGGTGCACGCTTTGCTTTGCAATGCTTGCTCAGGTCCGATCCCTCCAGAGCCCAGGAATCCCCAGTACGGCGGAGCTGCACCCTGCACGCCTGCACACCCCGCGCGCGCAGGTACGGTACGGGCCGTGGCGCGGCAGGAGAAAGGGCGAAAGGCTACGGCCGCATGCCGTTGCTGTAGCGAACGCCGCGGTCCCCTGCGTGGTCCGTGCTGCGGCTGCCGCCGCTGCCGCTGCGGCGCGTGCTGCGTTGGGAAGGAACGATCGGAACGGGGACGTACGAGTTGACGGGAGGGCGATCTGCCGGAAGTCCGCTGTCCACCCATGCCTCTGTCTCTCGGTAGAGTACGTACGAGTAGAAGGGTCGGAGTTTTCAATCGCGCAATCATGGCCTGCCTCTCCTTGCTGCTGCGTGTGCGACGTGATTGACCTGTGACTTGTGATCGACCAGACAGTGTCAGCTATCAAAGATTTGAAGAGGAATGAAAAACAAAGGCTGTGAGACTGATAAAAAACGTTTCATTTTGTTTGGAAGCTTGTGGCTTGTCCGCTCATTCGCCCGCCGCGCTGCCCTGCCCGCGAAAGGGTGCAAGGGCAAGGCAAAGATCTCCCCCTGCCGCCTGCCGCAGCCAGTGCAGACGCCCAGATCTGGCCTCGCGAGTCGAGACCAGCGGGCAGAAGGCAGAAGCTGCCTGCGCAGCGCAGTACTGGCTGGCACAGGAAAGGAGAGCGGCCTTTTGGACGGACACGGACGGGCCAAGCCAAGCCAAACATTTGATTTTGATTTGCTTCGCCTTTTCGCCGCCACTCCCCGCTCTGCCGACCGGAACCATGACCAAAAGCGTGTACCGTAACGACTGTCACGCCAGGGAATGGCGTCTCCAATCGGCTGGAACGGTTCGATATCTGTTTGATCCGATCGCTGGTCGCTAGCGTGCGCTGCGTGCGTCCAACTCACGAAGCTGCAGCGAGGCCCAAGCTGCTGCTGTCTCGGCAGGTCGACAGCCGCGCCATGCCATCTCCCACTTCCCAAATGCCAATCCGCGAAAACTGCGCACGCTAGCTAAACACGTCCAACCGAGAAACGTACGTCAAGATCAGTCTTAAGCGTAGGAGTACTACCAAACTCTCAAGCGGTCAAGTATCTAGGAGTAGGTTCCCAAGCAGCTCACAGGAACTAGACAAGACAAGGAACGAACGGGGCTAAACACAAAATGAGCTGGCTGCTACTAATCACTACTAAAACCAGTTGAACATTTTGGATCTGCAGAAATTTAGTGCTAGTACAGAGCTTTGCGTTTTACGGTGGCTTTGGTTAATTGGCTTGGACAAATATAGAGCGAGCCTAGAATGGCATGCTCAAACCTGTTGACTCGATTGACAGAGCTCTGTTCCGGCAACCCTCCTCTTCTTGATGTTACTCCATCACAGTAAAATGGCGATAAGCAACAACAGATGGGTGCATGACATTGCCCATAGCCTGACGTTTGAGCTGCTCGTACATTTTGTTTTCCACAATGGTCTCTCCTCTCAAAACGAGCAGTTTCAGCACTGAGAATCAGGAGGAAGGCAAGATCGTCACATGGACCCAGCAGCAACCATCGGATCAGTATGGCCCTGTTCCCTTCTCTTATAATTCGTACTTTTTAACTTGTTTTTTAACCGAAACAGTGTTTTTCTCTTACAACAAATTAGCCGAACAGTGTTTCGCCTTATTTTTTTCAGCGCACAACGTCGTTCAATGTTATTAAGACATGTGTGCGCAATGTATCTTCACATTGACTTGTAACTTGTAACATAAACAATTGGTCTATATATATTCCAAAAATATGCGCTGCTTTTCTAATTCTCTACGTAGTATCGTGAGTCCAGGAATACATCAATCCCTATCTCCGTCCACCCCCCGCTGCACAAGGGCTCGCCGCCCTAAACTTGCCGCACGAGCGCGCTAGCCTTCACCTCGTAACCGACGCCACACCCTCTTCCTCTGGTCCCTGCATGGCGGAGCGGGCCCCTTCTTATCAACGCCTTTGCAGCTGTCAACGTAAAGACGCATGTTCCAACCGTCTTGGAACTCAAGCTCCCCAACTTCACCAAGTGGGTGTTGTTCTTCCGCTCATGTGCACCAAGTTCAATCTTCTATCACATTAATGGCATCGTCCCCGCGTCCCACGATCGAACTGGACCTAGACCGGTGGTCGCGTTCGCCGCTTGCTCTATAGCAGCATTGCCGACGCGTACTGGACCTTGCCATGGAGCTGGATTAGACGGCCCACACTCTCTTTGGGTGGCTATTGATGGTCTATTCCAGACTAACAAAAATACCCGCGCCATATCCTCCTACAAGTTCTACTCGTTTGTGCAAGGGATTTCTTCGTCAATGGATACCGCAGGCCACAGCCCGAGTTTGGCTCCCTAGGCCCCATGCCCCCGTCCTATTTTTGCTCTTCCTACCTGACTCCTCGGACCCACACCGCTTTTGTCCGTGACAGTACGTACTTGCTGTCGGTCGACATGTGAGACCAGGAAGAACTGTTTGGCAGTATAAAACTATTTGGCAGAGAGCTTCTCTTGAGTTTAATCTAGAAGCTACTTTGCAAACTCTACCAAATACGCTCTAACATCGCCCCTGTTTGGAACCGCTTATATACGAATCGATTGTAATCTAATCGTGATTTTCTTATAAGCGACGGTATAAAAAAATCTACAAGAATCGAGATGTTTGGCAATCCTGATTATTTTGGTTATCGGGAGTGTAAAAGGAATTTTGTGCCATTCTTCTTTGTTCCGATCACCATCCATTGCCCTTCTCCTTCGACCAAGGCAAGCTTGAGGGAGTGGACAGGGAGTGGCGATGGTGTCTCTGATCGAGCCAAAGCGGGGGCGGCGAGAAAGCGGACGAGAAACAGAGGGGCAAGCGCGGCGAAGCGGACAGGCAGACGAGGGAGTGGAGCGGAAAGGTGACAGGCAAAAAATCCTTTGTGGTACAGAGAACACTGGTTCCAGTTGAAACATCAATTGTTTTCACCGTCCCATTCCTTATTCTATATCTAATATTAAAGAACTAAAATTTCCTCTCATTTTTTGTATGGCCTCCCTTAACTACCCATGTGGACCACAATACATCACACGCAATCCACATTGACTACAAATCAAATAATAGAATTAATACGCTTTTCAGTTTTACAGCTCATTTGACAATAAGTTGGAGACAAAAAAAAAAAGAGTTAACTTCAACGGCCAAATATCTTATTTTAATTTTCCAAATTGAATCCACCACAGACCCACCAGAGCAAATCAAGGCTTGCTTGAGGAAGTCTGGTAGGACGGACTGACACCACGCGCGTTACGCCCAATAAAAAAAGGGGGACGTAGTTACAGTTAGGCGGAGTCTGCACCCTTGGAGCATGCATGCGTGAGAGAGGACTTCGTGCCTGCCGCGTCCGCTGCTAGCTAGACTAGTCGGCTAGGCCCTAGCCGCACGTGCCCAGAGCCGCAGGCCTCCCTGGCGTGCCTGCCCTCTGCTGCCTAGCGCCTAGGCCTGCTGCTGCTACTTTGCCGTGCTGCTCTTTTTTTCTCTCTGTGTTGTCTATGCCTTGGCCAAGTTGCCTCTGCCGCATGCTGCCTGTCGCGTTGCTGCTTTGGCCCATTGGCTTAGGCACTTAGCCAGTTGTAGGGCTGGCCAGGCCGCTTTCCTATTTGTGAGAGGAGCGCAGGCCCATCTACATGGCAGTTGAGTGCTGGCCCAACTTTTTTCGTCACTCCATGGCATTTAGCTCTGTATGTTTCATGCGTTTCAGATGTATGTTTCATCGGGATGTTGCATGTGTTTGATCTAGATGTTGTATATGTTGCAATGGCTATACACGTATGTTGCAAGTGTATATTTCAAATGTTTTCGCTGTTTCAAACGTATGTTACAAGTGTTTTATTTGGATGTTGCATATGTTGCAATGGCTATACATGTATGTTGTAAGTATATGTTTCAAATGTTTTAGCTGTTTCAAACGTATGTTGCAAGTGTTTTATCAAGATGTTGCATATGTTGCACTGGCTATGCACTATATTGCCAGTGTATGTTTTAAATATTTCATCTTGTTTAAAATATATGTTGCAAGTATTTTATCTAGATGTTGCATATGTTGCAATGGCTATACATGTATGTTATAAGTGTATGTTTTAAATGTTCCATTGTTTTCGGACGTATGTTGTAGTAAATGCTTTATGTTGCAAATGTTACATGACCAGGCGCGGGAAGTGGGCGCAGTCAGAGATGATCCCCTCATGCGTGCGGGAATCATAGCGAGCACGGCGGCCCCCACATGCCAAATGCGGGCATGGGTCGCATGGCCGGGCAAGGCGGCAGCGGCCAGCGATAATAACAGCAGCAACAACGCATGCGACAAAAGGATAACAATAACGTCTCCGCACGCGAGCGGCGATGTGGGGGCGCCCGGCGCAAAGTGGGAGGTCAAGACGGCGTGCACGCCATGCCCTTCGCCATTGGCCCGCCATGCATCCGTGGGAGGAAAGTGTGTTGCCTGCGTCGTTACGTGTCGCATGCAGAGAGAGCGAGTCAGGCACGTGGGCGGGCAGTAGGCACGGGCGTCCCTCCAGACGCTGTGTCCGGAGGTCACGGCGATAGTCTTTCCCTGTATATATATCGAGATAAAATTGAAAACATGAAGTAAAAAAAAAAATGAGATGACCATGGGCGAAATCAAACCGCCTTGGTGCTACCTCTCCACACGGCGATGTGTACTATGTCGTGACGGTGAGCTCGTACTGGTCTCATATACGGAACCAGATCCTCTAACGTAGTTGGAACTACGTGAGGTGGGACATCGAACGTCCGTGCACCGTCGATGGTCCATCCGACGGCATGCTTGCCATAAAACAGAGCGCAGGAGCACACGGACGCAGCCCAACAGAGCCCAGTTCAACAGAGCTCGGACTGGTCTCATATACGGAGTAGTAGGTAATAAATAAACATCGATAAGCTTTAGGCAATTTTTTTCTCTAGAGTCCGTTCACGTTTAACCTGGGTGCGCTCCCTATTCCGGCGAGTTAAAAGAAAAGGTGACCGCCGCCGCCGCCCTATTCCAGGTGTTCTGTGTTCACGTCTTGGTCGGTACCTTCTCCGGCGACGAGCCCTCACCAGGTACGCGCATCCTTTCTCGCCCCTCACTGTTGTGTGAAACCTGGCACCTGAACCCTAACCTAAGCTAATTTGGATATTTGTGGGCCTGATCTTAACAAGAACTGTATATGTATTACCCTACTATCTTCGATTTTTTCCCAAAAAAAAAAAGGTGTGTATGTGTACACCCATGTCCTTTATGCACAGCCATGTCCTTTACTGGCTCCGTGGTTCACTCCAAACAATGCATTAGAAACAAATTCCATGTTTTTGGAATCAAACAAATATAGGTTATGGGTAATAATGTCGATGGATTACTATGTGTATGTCTATTCATTCTCGTGGAAATCATTTTTACAGAAAGCGAGCAATATTGTTGGATGGCAGACAAAAAGAGTCTCTTAAGGTTGAAACACAATGGACCACCGGTGAAAACAAAGAGATCAAGGCTTGAGTTGAGTGACTTACCAATGGTATGACCCAAATTGTAGTCAAGTAATATAATTCTGTGAACGTGCGATTCTCCTCCCCCTCACAACATGATGTACTTTGTTGCATTAAAGGACATATACTCTACTATACAATTTTTAAGGTGACACATTATGGGAATATATTTAATTATTTTTTGTTCAATATTAAGTAATTATGAAACCATTGTTTCTCTGCTGCAGGAAATCTTGCACTCTATTGTATCACGATTGCCAATAAGAGAGGCTGTGAGGACAAGTATATTGTCAAACCATTGGAAGCGTGTCTGGTGTTATCGCACAAAATTGAAGTTTTCTTTCAGATCATTGGTTTATAAAAAAAGATCAGAGATTCCTCGTTTTTTCATAAGTGAACAAGTTTTTGTTCAGAGGGTTGATGCAGTCCTAAAGCAACACTCAGGCATAGGGGTTGAGAAAATGGAAGTCCAGTTTTCACCATTAAACAATGATCATGCAGAGCACATTGACAGATGGGTGCAGTTTGCTGTTGCATCAAAGACAAAGCAGCTTACTTTTGATTTCGAAGCTCAAAATACTAAGAAGGAATCATATAGCTTTCCTTTCCAATTTTTTAATGCTGCTAATGGTTCCCACTTGCAGTCTTTGAAACTTGGTTCTGTTTCTCTGAAGCACCCTTCCAACATCAAGTTTTTGCTAAACCTTAAAAAACTTGAGCTAGCAGATGTGAATATTGATAATGACAATCTTGAACTTATGCTGTCTGCTTGCAATGTTTTGGAGTTCTTTGGAATATCTGGTTGTAAAATGCTCACAAGCCTACATACACCTCGTCATTCAAATCACCTCAAGGGTTTGAAAGTCAGCCTCTGCCCCTTGCTTCAATCGATAGAGTTAAATTCTGGCCTGATAACACTTGAATATGAAGGCTCGTTGATTCCATTAGGACCTCCTAGCACTTTGAGAAATATATGCATCAAGTCATTGGATATTCACTCTTCTATTGCATATATCTTCACTGAATTGGCCAGTACTTTGCCTTGTCTTGATAAGCTGACTCTAAAGTGCCCAGAACTGAAGGTTTGAGCTGCACATGGTTATTTTTATTTCTGATGTTTATGTACATCCTTAAGTATAATCGGTGCTAATCTTTTTTCAATTAACTTGCTGTGTGTTATAGAAAGCTACTTTACCGAACAAGACTTTGAAGTTTCTCTACCTAAGGCATCTGAGATTGGAGTTAATTTTTGTTTCCCGGAGAAAAAGTGCTGATGTTCTAGACCTTGCCAAATTCCTAGAGGCTGCTCCTTTGATGGAGGAACTGGAAGTTCATGTAAGTTATGATTTTTTCGATATTTAAGAATAGCTGGGTACTTCCTTAATTATTTATTATGCTGCCCCTGTCAACTTTTTTCATTGGAATTATGGGAGTTCCCCACAGCATGATATATTTTTATATTTTATAAAAAGAAAAGAAAAGAAAATAAGTTATGTATAAAAAATGTTATGTGGACATGGTAAGATTAAGAAACAAGATCCTGTAAAGTTAATCAACTAATTACTTAATAGAGTTATCATCTAAGGTTTCACCCTCAGGATTGACAGAATAAATTGTGATTTGATGTGTTTGCTGCTGCATAACATTTGTTTTGTACACATCAGCATTATGAAAAGAACTGTGTGTGGTGCTTCTCTCATGTTAATCTCTTTTACAGATGTGGATGGACTACAAACTTGAACGGTATCGCAAGCGTCATGGCGAGCTAAGGAATCTACCTTTGCACCCTCATTCCCATTTGAAGATGGTCGATATAACGGGGTTTTATGGTCAGAAAGATCAGCTCGAGTTGGCACTCCATGTTCTCAGAGTTTCTACTGCACTCGAGGCTATGAAGATAGATCCAAGGCCAGTGGTAGGTTGTATAACTCAGGACTTGGGTATGGAAGATGGACTCTGTTTCATAGATGGCTACAAGATTGCTCGGAAATACCTTCACAAAGCTGACAGTCGTGGTGTTGTTGATGTTGTAAAAGTCAGTAAGGACGTCAAAAATATTTGGCCATGCAAGTCAATTCACCCATATTGGCTTTCTGTGGTGTCTGAAGATTAAGGCTTTATGTTGATCAAGCTGCACTGATATGATCTCGTTTGGATGCCCCCAACCAAAATATTTTTCTTCTCGTTATTTGAATGGCAATATTTCGAGCTCATCACCAACCAAAAAACAATATGTTTATTCTCGTTATTTGATCTACTTTCAACTATAGAATGACAAGGTGTGCCGTTCAGAGCACTAAAATCACCCAATGCCAACTAATGTGTCAACTTTCAGTTGTATCATCACGTTACCTGTAAAACATACTTTGGAGATGGTGTTTAGGAAGTGATGATGCCAACTTATGCATACGTTATTGTTCTACAAATCATTTATCTTTGTTAAGAGGAATGCATATTATATGTGTGGTTCAGTCGTTCAGAGCACTAAAATCACCTAATGCCAACTAATGGATAGTCAACTTTCCATCTTGAACGTTTAAAGCTAAACTTCCAAGACTTGGATTTTTCTTCTGCTTGCTCAAGGAGCTCATTATATGCAGAACAAAGTGCTTTGAAGAAATCCACGAGTGCCTCCTCCTTTGACTGTAAGTACTTCAGGTTGAGCTTCCAGAAGGCAAGCTGTGAAGCTCCATCTCTCAGCTGAAGATCAACTTCCAACGGCAATTGCCGGACCCAGCGGACGGCACCGCCTCGCTGCCATCATTAGCCTGGGTAAATCGCACGAAAGGGGTCTCCATCCCAACGGATGTAGCGAACTTGATGGCGGCTTCACCGCAGTGGCGGTCACTCAGCAACGTGTGAAGTCCGGGCGTGGGGCCACGTGCACGCGGCACCGGCACCTTGCAGAACGAGCGCCAGACCTCAATGCGAATGCGAGATCCAAAATTCACCAATTTGGAATTAATTGAATCAATCCGCTCCAACGGGCCTAATCATCCGAAATCTCTAATGAACAGACTTAATCATCGGAGATCCCCAACCCCATTCCCATGAGCAGTGATAACCCCCAATCCAAACCCGACTTGAATCATCAGTGAGCAGTGGGAATCCCCAATCCAAACCCGACTTGAATCATCGGTCGTTCCAATTGACGAAATCAAAACAGCCCAATCGAAGAAATCAAAACAGCCAGGATGGGAACATAAAACGTACGGTGTAGATCACTTGCTCGAACTGCACGGTGCCTTCGTCGTTTGGGTTTGCAGCTTGGTGGGCGCCCGTCGCCATGTCCAGCTCCAGAGCGCTGATCTTCTTCTCCAGATCGATGATCCTCTGGCGGGTCCTTTCGATCTTCTCGAGCACTTTGATCTCCGACTTCAAAATCCGCGCGAGCGCGCCCTCCGAGATGGCCTGCGTCGCCTCCGCCTTGAGTCGAACGACCTCGGGGTTGTACACCTGGAAGGCATCGGGGCACCTGAGCCCGGCCTGCATCTGTACGTCGATGTCGCACGCTTGATGCAGAGGGGTGTTGACGTCGATGCGGATCTGGTGGGTCACCGGGCTAATGTAGTTGAAGAGCTTGTCGATACGGCGCATGGATGATGCCCCGCGGATGATGAGAGCGGGGTCCGGATCCATGGCGCCCCCAACGAACGGGAACCACGCACGTCGATCGGTTTGTTGGTAGGGTTTGGGCCCCAAGGAACGGGAACCACGCACGTCGATGGTTTGTGGTAGGGTTTCGGTTGGTGGTACGGGGGTGGAGTGGAGGCGAGGCGGAGAGGAAGGAGAAGGCGAGGCGGAGCGAGGTCGGCGATGTGATTGGTGGAAAGGGGAGAGAAGGATGGGTTCAATTTTTATAATGGTGAACGGACACCCAAAGCGAGCGCGCTGCTGGCTTTTCCAAATTTTTGGGAGAAGAACTTTCCAGAAGCCCACCAGAGGAGGGTGGATTTCGCCCGTGCGTGGGCGACGGGTCCCGCGTGTGCGTGAGTGAGACCGACTTGGCGGTGGGACCTATCATAGCATGTTTCTGCTGTTCTGCGGTGCTGATTGGCTACATTTATTCATCCTCCTCCTGTCCTAAAATAAGACTCCGTCTACTAAATAACCATACGTTTTATACAGTTTCAACATATGAATTTTTTTCACCATAAAATTTAGATTCAACGGCCTCTACCCTCCTTCTACCTCCAGCCTCCAGCCTTTTTCTACATTCAGACAATCACAAATCACAAGATCACATATCATAAGAAACAATTTTTGTTTTCTATGGAAGGACAAATCACAGATCGCGGAGGAGGGAGAGAGGCCTGCCTAAAGCCGGATCCGCCGCTGCCGCCGCCCACTCCGGCTCGCGGCGCAGTTGGCAGTCCGGTCGGCCACGCGACAGACTGAGCTGCACCGTGGTCATGCATCCGTCGTCCATAGCGATCCGTCATTCCATCCATCTGTCAGTCCATGTCCGTCGTCCATGCATCCATTAGTCCCTGGACTCAGGGTCAGCAGAACGGCGGTAAGCATAGCGAAAACATAGCGACGGAGCGGGTGGGATCGGAGGACGCGTGCGTGTGTTGTGTGGCGTCAGCAGAACGGAGTGAGAGAGAGAGAGAGAAAATTCATTTTTTTTTTCTAAAACACATGTGTGTTGTATTGTATTTCTATAAAATAAATACACTTAGTATATCATTCAAATTTATCCTATGATAAATATACTTTTAGGCTATGGATCATCAAGTATAGTAACATCTCAGCCATATGCAGCAGTACCAAGTACATTATGATAAGATAATCGCCTGTTCTTCAGCACTACTTCAGCAGTACTTTTCAGCGAACTATGTTTTCCTCTCACAACAAATCAGCATAAGCATCGGCATAAGCCAAATTTCAGCGAAACGAATAGAGCCAATGATATACTGCAAAAATTGTCCATCGTCGATATATAATTTACCCGTGCGTTGCTACGGGATGCATAGTATATAGTCGGGTCACTTGGACGACATAAAGTTCATAAGATTTTTTCAATAATCATGTCATGTGTTCTCATTCATCTCGAAATCAAACTCTATAACATGTCCGGACACACTCTACTCGAATTCGTATAGGTAAAGGACGTTTGAAGTTTTATCCAATGATCGGGTCATGCATTTCAATTTGTCTTGGAATCAAACTCCCCACCGTGTCTTAACACAATATTCTAACTCATAAAAGTATGGGAGAGAACAAATTATAACAAAAGCACTAATATTTACTCAAAATATATCATAACCTTAATTTTCATACCTTCCAAGTGTTGGTATATCGAGTTTTGTGACTTACTATGAGGACCCATAAAAATATGTAATTTATCTTATTAATCTCAAAAATATTTACTTGTAAATATATCCTAACCTTAATTTCCATACTATCCATGTGTTAGTATATTTAAATACCGAGTTTTATGACTTACTTTGAGGACCCATAAAAAATTATAATTCATCTTATTAAAACTAATAAGAGTTTAGTTACTACGTGTCAAGGTAAAGATAACCTCCAAGCGAGCTCCACTGCCAGACATGTCTCCACCATGCCACCATTGTTGTAAGCACGTAACCCATGTGATGCTTTCTGCTAAGGCCTGGCCTCATGGCCCGCTGCAGGAGGTGCAGTGTGGCGGGTAGGCACCTCTCTCCTCGTGTTCATAAGGTGGCGAGACATGTTGATCTTGTCAATGGCGTCCACTCGTTGATTTTGATCTCTCTTCATGGGGTGCTCCACCATGACTCCAGCCGAGGTCGGTGGTGGAGACGTGTACGAATAACACATGCAACAAATCTATGGCCAAGACGTGTGAATCCATAGTAGGTGGCACGCTGGAATTTTCAGCCATCCATTGAGCCTGTTCGTCCACCACATCGATTGACATTCTCGCTGTGCAGAAGCCAATGGCAAGATCGCATGGCTTACCTCATCTCCTTCATCTAGAACTTGCTTGTTTCTGTTTTTTTTTTGTTTTGAGACATCCATTGATGTTATACAGTTGTCATATGTTTCCTTTTATTTGACAGATTTCTTTTTTTCTCTTTTCTTTAGTTCCCTCTTTTTTATGGGTTAGCTTTAATGAGCTACAATTGGACTCCATATTGAACACCCTTCGAACAAAAAGAAATAGAAAAAGAAAAACTAAAAAGCCAGATAAAACAAAGAAACTCCTCACGGTATATATGTATTAAAATAGGACTAGAAAGGGACTTTAGGCCCCGTTCGGCTTATCTTAAATCCGGCTTTGAAAGCTCTAGTTTGGTTTTGGTGAATTAATGAAACCATAAGTGCTAACCTAGTTTATCAAGTGATCGTGAGATATGTAGCACACTCTAAGTGGTGAAGCAAATGAAGATCATAGCATGATGATGATGATGGCATGGTGATGATCAAGTGCTTCGACTTGGAAAGAAGAAAGAGAAAAATAAAAAGCTCAAGGCAAAGGTATATTTTGTAGGAGCTATTTTGTTTTGGTGATCAAGACACTTAGAGAGTGTGATCACATTTAGGTTCGATAGCTATACTATTAAGAGGGGTGAAATTCGTATCGGAATGCGGTTATCAAAGTGCCACTAGATGCTCTAACTCATTGCATATGCATTTAGTATCTAGTGGAGCACTAACATCCTTGAAAATGTTTATGAAAATATGCTAACATGTGTGCACAAGGTAATACACTTGGTGGTTGGCACATTTGAGCAAGGGTGAAGAAGATAGACGTGAAGATGAGTTGGTCTCGCTAGTCACAAAGTGACCGGACGCTGGTCTTAGAGGAACCAGTGCGTCTGGTCAGTTGTAACAGCGAAGACGCTGGCGTCGGTCAAACGACCGGACGCTGGGTCGCTCAGCGACCGGACGCTGGAGGGATGTGTCCGGTCGTGTTGACCAACAGCGTAGTGTGAAGTCAACAAGTGATCGGACGCTGGCTGTGTCCGATTAAGCATGACCGGACGTGTCCGGTCGTGAAATATCGTTTCTAGAACCTTACTGAAAACGACCGGACGCTGGGGGCTGAGCGTCCGGTCAGTTTGTGCGCTGTGTCCGGTCAACAGACGACCGTTGAAATCTGACGAACAACATTTGAAGCAGGGGACACGTGGCGTGAATCACGTGACCGGACGCTGAGGGCCAATGTCCGGTCGATCGGACCAGAGCGTCCGGTCACCCCGCGCTGTGCCCAGTGAAGGGGTACAACGGCTCTATTTCATGGGGGCTTCTATTTAAGCCCCATGGCCGGCTCAAGCTCAATCTCTTGGCCATTTGTATTGATATAACAACCTTGTGAGCTTAGCCAAAGCCCTCCTACTCATCTCCATCATTGATTCATCATCTTTGTGAGATTGGGAGAGAATCCAAGTGCATTGCTTGAGTGTTTGCATCTAGAGGCACTTGGTGTTCGTGTTTTGCTGTGGGATTCGCTTGTTACTCTTGGTGGTTGCCGCCACCTAGACGGCTTGGAGCAGCGAGGATCGTCGAGCGGAGGGTGGTGATTGTCTCTGGCTCCGATCGTGGTGATTGTGAGGGGTTCTTGACCTTTCCCCGGCGGAGCGCCAAAAGGTACTCTAGTGGATTGCTCGTGGCTTATGTGATCCTCATCTTGTGTTGGTTGTGCAGCACCCTATTGAGGGTTTGGCGTGTGATGCCACTTAGCGCATGAACCTCCAAGTGAGTGAATCACCACAACGAGGACTAGCTTGCTGGCAAGCAAGTGGACCTCGGTAAAAAATCATTGTGTCATCTTTTGATTCCGAGTTGATTGGTCTTCATTGCTATTCATTCTTGTGATTGATTGGCTTCTTCCTCGACACGGCGGTATAATCATCTTGCTCACTCTCTTTACATTACCACAAACTAGTTGTCAAACCTCTTTAGTGTAGCTAGTCATGAGAGCTTGTTAGTTTGGTTAGTGTGGCTCTTTAGTTAGCCTTTGAGAGCACACTAACTTAGTGTAGTGACATAGCTATTGTGTGGATAGAAACTATATTAACTAGAATTGTGGTAGGTGGCTTGTATTTTTAGAAGGCTAGCGCAATACTTGCTTCGCCTCATAATTGTCTAACCGGTTTGCTAAGTGTTGTTGTAGAAATTTTTATTAGGCTATTCACCCCCCTCTAGCCATTAGGACCTTTCAAGTGGTATCGGAGCTGAGGTCACCGTGATTTGAGGCTTAACAACCTTCGGTGTAAAAATGGCTCAAATCAACAACACAAAGAAGTCACCTCAATTTAATGGCACAAATTATCCATATTAGAAGTCAAATATGACCACATATATCAAGTCAATCAATAGAAAGGTGTGGAAGGTGGTAGAAACCAAAATTGAGATTGATGATCCAGAGAATCCCACCACGGCCGAAGAAGTACTTCTCCAAAACAATGATATTGCTCTAAGTGCCATTCATGAAGCAATTGATGAGAGAACATTTGAGCAAATCAAGAATATTGAGATGGCTCATAAGGCTTGGAAGAAGTTGGAAGAATCATTTGAGGGCACTCAAGCCATGAAGAGTGCAAAGGCATACATTCTTAAAGAGAAGTTTGCAAGCTTCAAGATGAAGGAGGATGAGAGTGTACCGGAGATGTTCCATAGGCTTCAAGTGCTTGTCAATGATCTCAAAG